CAGGAGGCAAGCCCCCCTGAAACACCCCACTGTTATGACTAGTGCGCATTAGTAAACACGGTGGGTCCATCAACGTTCAATCGGGCCAAAATTATTTTTTAATACAAAAAAAATACAGAAAAATATTACTGTAATGTGGTAGGGTTCACTTTGCCTACAAGGGCACTTTTGTCCTTAGCAATCATTACTGATTCTTATGTCAACAAATGGGTCAACAAATGGGAAGACAATTTCCAAAGGGCCCCTTATTAGAGTAGTTGTCATCTGTTTTGTAATATATAGAACTTGCCTTTTTTTCACAGCTACAATTAGAGCGTCCATTGTGTTTGATGATGTGAACGCTCCGCACACGTGGGCCTGTGGGTGTTCAAAGCGGTGACCCTGTGCCACACTCCTTGTCTGTCGGATACACGGCGGGGACTGGGGACATTTTAGGCTAGTGCTGCGCTAAAAAGTTTCGATTGGATAAAAAGCTGTATTCACCTCCGGTTCTGAAACGGAAGACGAAACGGATGCTGTTGGTCGCTAATGTTTAGTTAAAGAGCCGATCTATAGCCTTCCGATGACGGGTCAGGGGTCAACGTCCTGACTCGAACTGTTGGTGTGTTTTGGTATGGCAGCAAAAATGAGCAACGATATCATAGCTTGGGCGTTCTCCCTGCCACTCGGGAACTGATAGGGGCGGGGGCGAACCATAGACAGCAGCGGTCTGAAGGGACGAACAAAAATAACCAAACTGGCTATTGTTATACAATAGACTTCTTTTTTTTTTGGGGTTTTATAATGACAGATTCATATCACCATTAGATGTATCATTTCCCTGTGCGCTGGTCCAGAGGCTGCATCGGTTTATTACATGCAGATCTGTACTACACATGTTTATTCGCAAGGATGGATTCAGATATGATACAGACTTGACAACCGGACATGGACACAGACGGGTCACTCACTCAACTCACGAGACAGGAAAACGGAAGCTAGACCTCTGGACAATCGTAAGGGGAATGCATCCACATAATTAACATAATTAACAATCAACAAGACCATTGATTGTTTACCTTTAAAACATTCATAAAGATTCATTACAAGATCTATTACAGCGTTTGTCGTACGCAGCTGCAAAGCTCATCTTTCGATTCTCATCTTTTGTGTCCCATCTCTCACCTCTTGCTTCTCCCTGCACCATATCCCACGGTCCAAATCCCGTATCCTGGGTGTACAATGTAATTCTATAAGCTATAAGCGTGTTTCACCCCCCC